CATATAGCAAAAGATACCGCCATGAGGGTTTCACATGTCAAAGATGGCAAAGCCGATGATTTTGTTGATCCCCCAAAGCAGCCGCTGGAACAGCTTGCTACTGATGATGTTATCTTAGCTAAAGGGTCCGAACACTTGGGTGTAGGTATAGGGGGAATAAGGTCGCATCATGTCATCCGCGATGCGTACTCTGGTGCGCGTGTTGCATACCCATTGTCTAAACGTACTGCTGACGCGCATGCTCGCAACTTTAGGCATTTCTTAGGATTGCGTGGATCAGAGCTCACCACCCGAACGTTCATCAAAATGGACGAAGCAGGCGAGCTTGAGCAGGCGGCACATGCCGTAGGCATGGTTCCAGAAACCTCGTTGCCGAACAGATGGCCCCACAATGCCATCCTCGAGAGAGATGTTCGAGAGGAGAAAGAATGTTGCCGCACTATTCACCTCCAATCTGGCCTTCCCTATGAGTATCACACATATAGCTATCCATATGCTTGCCTTTCAATGTCATTTGACAAGCCTTCAATAGCCGACCCCGACAAAACCCAATGGGAGTCGCTTACTAGGAATAAGTTTGATGGCATGAGGTTATGCTTTGGTCAGTTAGTGTATTACCGTAGGAAGTCACCCACCAAAAGGACTTTGGAGCCCAACATGTCACCTGGTCTATTTTTGGGTTGGAGGATTGATCCCGGTTTCCGATATAGAAATATCTTAAGGGTGTTAGATTACCAAGAGTATCGCACTAGAGGTGGGAATTCAGCCGTTGATGTTCCAGAAGCAGAAATCTTTGTCCCTGAAGGTGATCCTGTTTTTCCAGTAGGTTTTTCACGCCACCAAGCTCTCATCAGGGGGGATAACCCAGATGATCTTAAGTTGCCTGAATATGCCTTAAAGGATGTGCCCTTCCCCAAGGAGGGCGGAATAGCCTCACCCTCTACACCAGGTCTCAAAAGTCGTTCTGTTTATATAACCGTAGACCGTATCCTTAAGTGGAAAGAGACCCCTGGTTGCAAAGGCTGCACTGGCCATTCACGCGTGCACACCGATGAGTGCAGAGCCCGCTTCGCAATGTTGGTTGAAAAAGAAAAAGAAGCCGAAAAAGAAAAGAAAGCTCCACCACCCACAAGTGAGACGGAAGCAGAAGACAGGGATGATGAAGCACATGGCATCATCTTCCAGGGTGAGGACCTGCCTGACCCTGACCCCATACCATCGCACCTCTCCGCTGAGGACAGGGCGCTCTTTGAGGAAACTCTCATAAGAGGTGAGGTACCAGGGTCGTCCGAACCCAGCGCTCCAGCCGAGCCTGCTGTTTCCGTTTCTGGTGTAGCTATTCTTCCCCAAGTTGCCAATCGATGTTCCGACCTATGTCAAAAGTCGCTGCCTGTTTTTGGTTGCCCCGCTGTAGGTAAGCCAATTAACCGCGATAATCGTAGGAGCCGGAAAGCTGCCAAGAAAGCTTCCAGACCCAATGCCAAGTCAACCATGTTTGAGTTTGCTTGTTCTGAGGACTCCCAGATGGGTTTTACTCACCAAGAATATGGCATTAATCATGTTAGACTTTGTAAGGATAGGATAGACCTGGGAGATGAATCACAATGTGAGCAACTAGACTATCAGATAGATGAAGCCGCTAAGGTTGCACCTCCACATATGTGGGCCTCTATCCCTTGCACATCCGGATCTCCTTGGCAGTACATCAATAGGAAGAGGGGTGGTGCCGCATTCATTAGGAAGCTTGCCCACCAGGTCAAAGAGTCCAAACGGTTGTTTAAGAGTTTTTCCAAACGCGCTGAAAGGGTTCTCAATCATGGTGGTACTGTAACGTTTGAGTGGCCAAGACCTTGCTCTGGCTGGAAAAGGCCTGACGTTGTAGCATTCTTTGAGAAGCATCCCCAGTTTATGACCGTTGGTTTTGAAGGGTGTACCGTAGGTTTAACCGACAGAAATGGTTATCCCATCAAAAAGCCATGGAAACTCAAGACCACTTCTCCCCGAATTGTAGAGGCGTTTCAAGATATGCGGTGTCGATGCCAGCAACCTCATTCCAGATGTGAGGGAGCTGAGACCACTCGCTCCGCAATGTAACCGCCCCAAATGACTAGTTTAATTGCGCAAGCTTTGTATCCCTCAGAATGTGCCCAGCAGTCCGTTCCTGCTATGCCTTGCCGACCGGCAACTAGCGAGCCCCAACCCCATAGGGAAATTGAGCAGCACCTTAAGCATGTATCCCCATTAGCTGGTTTTGAAGATTTAGCCCTAGCTGTTGAATCAGACCCCACTGCTAATAGGTTGGTTACAGAACTTCTTGACCACGAACAATTGATCGCTCAAGCCTTCCACCTGGAAGACCCTAAGGCGCCAACGCCTGAGATCAAAGCAATGGTCACTAAGCTCTTGTCCCGTGCAGAGATGCTGTCCAATCCCAAGGCCCTCGAGGCAATCCGCGCCGAAGCCGATGGTTTGGTTAAGGCTGGTACTTGGGATCTTAGCTCGGTCCGCGAGAAGGAAGATGTACGCAAAGAAGCTAAGGCTTCGGGTGTGTCAGTACACTTTGGTCAGCTCATGACCATCGCGTCCATTAAATTCTACGAGCTTGCAGACCACCTTCACAAAATGAAGGGGCGCATTGTGTACAGAGGAGACTGCGCAAAGGACGAACATGGTGCAGCCGCGGTTTACCAAGAACTCGGCGCAAATCCCACCTCCGTCCAAGGGCTAAACGCCTGCCTGGCGTATGGGTCGCTGCCGGGTAACCGCGCGACGGCTGCAGATGCAGTCAAAGCTTACGTCCAAGCACTGTTATCTTCCAAATACAAAACCTGGATTGAGCTTCCCCCGGAGCTCCGCCCTAAGTATTGGAAACAACAGTTTGTTAAGCCCGTAGTCCTCTTAATTAAAGCCTTATACGGTCATCCTGATGCCGGAGGCCTGTGGGAACAACACTTGAAAGTCATCATCAAGAACCTTGGTGGTCAGGAAGTTCCAGAATACCCAGGAAACTTTTTCTTCCCAGATACAAAGTTACTTCTGTCAACTTATGTAGACGATTTGACTCTAGCTGGCCCTGCTGACCAGCATGACGCATTCTGGAGTAAGTTAACTTCTGTGGTAGACATTGAACCCCCAGAGCCCATCTATAGGATTCTTGGACGCAACCATGTTGTTACCCCACTATCCAAGACCGAAGGTCATGAAAAATGTGCAGCCTTCCAAGCCCAAGATGGCATGGTTTTTGATATGGCAGACTACGCTCAGCAGACCGTAGATTTGTATAAGTCAATAACTGGTGTCACCAAACTCAAGCATGCCGCCACGCCATTTCCACCTGAGGGATCCATCACCATTGAAGATGATGAAACTAAAGGGGAACTAGCTCCAAACGCATGTAAGATTTTGATGAAAGCCCTTTGGTTAGGTAGACTTGCACGTCCCGACATCATCAAGCCTATCAATGATCTGGCCACAAAAGTCCAGTCGTGGTCCAGGGGGGATGATAAGAAGGTCCTAAGATTAATCCAGTACATAGCCTCAACCCCACACTACAGGTTAGTAGGTACCATTCAGGACAAGCCTGAAGACCTAGAGCTCAGATTGTTTGTCGATGCCGACTTCGCCGGCGACAGATCAACTGCACGCTCGACCTCTGGTGGCTTTTTGGTTTTAACTGGCCCTAGTTCCTTCTTCCCACTTGCATGGATTAGCAAGCGCCAAACATCCACTTCTAGATCAACCACGGAAAGCGAGGTTGTTAGTTTAGCCCATTCGCTTTATCAAGAAGGCTTGCCAGCCTTACAGTTATGGGAGCTGTTGCTTGCACGCTCCGTAACCCTTAAGGTCCACGAAGATAATCAAGCAACAATCCTAGTTGTGAAGAAAGGATATAGTCCCAAGCTTCGCCATATAACTAGAACACACAAAGTCAATTTGTCTTGCCTGTCCGAAGTCTTCAGAGATGACTCAGCTGAGATAGAGTACACCCACACAGATGACCAGGCGGCAGACATATTCACCAAGGCATTGCCTCCACACAAATGGGCAGCAGCACTAATCCTTTTAGGAATACGTACTGACCTCCCCTTAGACCTTAAAGCCAACGCATAGGTCGCTGCGGACACCCGTTCGCGCGACAGTAGTTGCGTAGGTTACTGCCAATGCGCAGTGCGTGTGGAACAGGCGAGGGGGGAGTTGAAATATATCGACCCCTGAGCCCCACTATGTATAGCATAGGTAGTAGGTCTAGTATTGGCATGCCGTAGCTATGATTCCATAACATCCCAAGTAGTTACTCCGAATACCTTGTGTACAGTAGTAGCACCTCATACCTAGAAGCGTTAGGTATGTAGATAGCCTAGAGTTTATCCCAGGGTCGTAGTTAACCTTCCCAACAACTACCGGGTAGGTCCTTAACTCCCGCTGTTTGACGCTCATGGCTCAAGTGCACAAAATAGTGTGTGCTTGCATGTTGTGTTGCAGGGTTTGCCGGATTAGTTTCCCCCTTTTCCTTTGGGTGGCTGGTTCGACCCCCTGTTTGTCTATAATAATAATAATAACAATAACAATAATAATAATATATATATATATAAATACATATTACTATTGTAATTCACAATGGGAATATTGTAAATATTTACTAAGCAACCAGTGTAACGGGATAGATAGGACAGGGTTATTGTTTATTGTTCAAGTGCTTTGGTGATCATGTGGGACTGAAGGTGAACGCTATGAGTTGTTTGAACGGACGTCAGACATGTGCGGAAAGGGTCTCCCAATTTTTCTTCCGAATCCACTTTGTGTTGCTTCTGAAATCGATGACATCTGAAACTGACACCTGCAGGTTTTCTTGGTTTAATCCATGTTTTATCCATGCGTTCAACTCTTCAAATCCATGTTGAATCCATGTTGAATCCATGTTGAATCCATGTTTGATCACTGTTTTCTGGAGCTTTCCAGATCGATTGCCATTTCTGAAGCTTTCCGATCAACGACCTGAGGATGTGGCCACTTTGTCACAGGCCTTAGCAGAACGAGACCAAGACGCCTGGCGTTTTTTTTCAAAGTGGATATCAGCCAACGAGTTGAAAACGGGCTTATGAAATCTTAGGTTGTTTTTTCCCCAGAATTGTAGGGGTATTCTCCCAACTCATCATCTCCTGAAATCTTATGAATGTAGAATTAAGATGATTTATCTATGTAACTTACAGAACATGATAGAACCCCTGTAACTCTCCAAGAAATCAGCTAATGTTTAGATCGGCAGGTATCAACAAATATGTCCGTAGCCAGAGCTCACCAAATGATCAGTTCTCATTTCATTCGTTTTGGTGGCTCAAGCACCAACAATTCATCCACTGAGGATGTGAAAACCTATGGTTGGTTTTCAATTCATAAACCAAATTTTCATGTGGGTAAAACAATATCATCAACCAGCCATGACTGGGAATGGTAACCATACCTATATATTTATGGTGATGACTGGGGGATGGTTCATTGTTTTAACCACATTATACCCCAATTTTGGGGATTGTTTATACCATCGATAGTTTTTAATAATGATTAATACTGGGTTAATATGGGTTAATCATGAATAATATTCTGGGAAAGATTAATAAACCAATTTAGGCTTGATGATCTGAAAAAACATTGATGGGCTTAATGTGGGTTACAGCTGTAGCAGCTTAGCCCTGGTGAAATCGTGAAAAACGAAAAACTGGTTTGGGGCCGGTTTTTCCGTCCCATTCCCTTGAGATATTTGGGTACAAGAAAGAGATGTACCCCAACATCAATCATTATTATAGTGCTTAGACCCTCCAAGTACTTGTACCCATAAAAAATGGTAAGACTGGCAAAATAATGATACTATGATACTTGTATATTACATCATATTACATATATCATATATACAATGTAGGGCCCCCTGGATAGCTATATAAGTTGGTTTATAACTCGAATAACTATGGTTTATGATACTTATAACTATAGTTAATGGGGTTTATAAACCATCTCACAACTGGGGGGGGCCACATTGTATATATGGGTATGGATCAATACGTATTAATACCATTTTTAGGGGAATGAACATCCATTTACCAGCTATTTTGATGTGAACTACAGGGGTACAAGGTTTTGACACACTGCCATATAAATAATGTGTCCCCATTCTTTCATGGTAATTCTTTGGGGATAAACCTCATTTTGAGACGGTGCCGTATCCTGATGGTCCGTTCGAAAGGCTTGGTGTTTTGGATGATGATCCTTGGTAAAAAAAAAAACAACGTGGTAGGGAGGCAACCCCAGATATCTTGGAATATCATCCATATTCTATATTGACAACATAATCTAATACTATGTTCTACCTCTTTTTCCTGAAAATGATTGGTCCAAATATATTCAACTGTCAATTGTCAATCCTCAAATAGTTCGTTCGGATCCCATGAGATTTCCCATACCTGCCAATCAAACATGGCGCCTGTTGGAAAATTCCTCGATTTGCTTCCGAAAAAAATCGTTCGATGATGATTGTCCCAGCTATAAACCCCATTTATCATCTGGTTGGTGGTTTCAATCATTTTCCACTCATCTTTTTCAAGATGGTTATTGCACCACCAACCCGTCATCGATTTTCCCATGACTTTCCAATATTGTCCCATTAAAACCTCGATTTTTCCTTGATTTCCCGCCTTGGAACTGATAACACCTGAGGAAGTGAAAGCCTTGGAGGCACGCTTCGCGGAGCTACAAGCGGATCTCTCAACAAAGGACGGGGGTCAGGAATCCAGGCGTCCCGTTGGTTGCGATAACATGCTGAACGTTGGGTCAATGCCCGAACTGTTTTTGTTCAGTATATAAGTAAATTGGTCGGGTTACATTTCCTTATTGTATATGTTTATTCTAATTGTTTATATTTATACAATTCATCAGAAGTTCGAGACATTTACAACACAGGGACTATCCTAGCAAATTCAAGGATCACATCGTAGGAATCGTAAGTAGATCGAATCAATAGACGACCAACATCCATTGACCGACCACTCCCTGGGTATATGCTGGTAGTTTGCATGCCAAAGCCAGCGCATCTATTTTGTACACATGGCAAAGACAGAAGTACGGCACATCTACTTTTTGGTGCTTCTTAAGCTTGGAGACCCCAAAACCATCCAGCCCATTGTTCATTGTTAGGAACCCAAGGGTGAAAAGGGCTATACCAATTTTGAGACACATCGAGTGATTGATCATATGGAGGACTTTTCTTCCAGCTTCATGTCTCACTTTTTTCTCTTGGGGTTTGCGCAAAGTTTCCTCATTTTTCAGGCCTTGAATTCTCATGTTTCATCATGAAATGCCCATTGCGAAAAAACCCTTGGGCTCTCGATGCCCCATGAGAGATGATACACTGATACGAAAAATGGTGATGTTCCGATGTGGAAGATTACCAGAGGGTAGTGTTGATCGTGTGCAGATGTTGATGCCTTGTACTGAAGATGTCCCAAATTCTATCCCCATCACCAGGACAAACGAGTGGCAGAGTTGGGCGGTGAGTGTGCTGGCAGATATGAGTAGGAATGGGTTTGAAAAGATGTGACATCATTATGTACCTGGATAATATCCCATAGATATTTGGGGATCTCATATTGCTGATGACAGAGGGCCTAATTTATCAAGTGTCTGGGGAAATTCCTTCAAGATCACGTCCAATCAGAGGATTTCAAGTTACTGTATCTTATACAAATTGATCAATGGTCTCGTCATATCAGATGTTCACTTACCTAGACCTACATACAGGCGACCATTTCCAAACCCAAAGTCAGCAGATTCATTTGCGGTCTACTTCCAGTCATTCGAATATGAACCCTCACCAGGATTCGGACATGTTCCAAACAATTACCCTCTGGCAACTTAACAGTTCGCTATGGAAGCCATGGACCATAAAAATAGATGTTTTACCTATATATTAAAATGGTGATGTTCAATAGTTGTTTTGTATGTTTACCAGGCCGGGTAATCCCCAAGCATCACCATTATTTCCAACCATTGGGCGGAAAAGAGACACAGCTGGCAGATTGTATCAACTTTCGCGTGAGGGTTCCAGGCAGATTTTTTTTTTTCTCACCTGAGATGCAAATGGATTGTTCCTCCAATTTGATGGATTTTCGATTTTTTTTAATCCAATTCATTTTGTTTGAGACAATTGAGATGTGAGGATTTTCCCATTGGTTTCCTTTCAACATCCGGAAATGGAACACAACATCAACATTTGTTTGATCTTCCCAGCTCTTCCATGAGTTTCATGGACTTTCCCTATGTTCAATGGCCATTCACGAACCTAAATTGGAGACTATTGGAGGTACCTACCATATATAAGGCCTATGTAAGAGAATATCCCCACAAAATATGGCCAACAATATGTTACTAGCGTACCTCCATTTTAGAATCCTGAAATTCCCATTGATGATAGGTAGAACTTATCATTCACCATTATTGTTCACCAGATGTTCCTCTTATTATAGCTATAACAGCTATAAGATTATCTTCACCAGATAGTTAGCTGCAGAAAAATACCCCATGTTTCCATCAAGTTACACACCATGAGTTTCATGGATTTTCCCCAGATGTTTCCCCAGATGTTCCCCATGTTTTCCCACCATTTTTCCCATCTTGGACGTGACGCTGGGCCCAGGTTGGACGCGACGCTGCGGGAGGTGCGACACCGTCAGCTGGACCTGGAGTTCCAACAGCTGAAACTCGAGGAGAAGGTGGGGACCGATTCAGGGATTGGTTTGGTTTTTTTGGAGCATTTATATATCATAATCATGGGGATATTTCATGGGGATATTATATACATATATGAATAATGTATAATGAACAGCAATTATATACTGTATATATATATATATGAAAAATAGGGATATATATATAATATGGATGTATAAGGATATATATATATAATAATACATATATATATACAGTAATAGTTATAAATAATTAATAGGGATATATAGATATAATATTTATGGATTTGATTTAAAACAATTTAATTATATGAAAAATATATAGCGAACAATTATGAACTATGGGGTTTATATATGATTTATCCCCAGGAACTATTTGTACATCCCCTGCATTTACCCTCTGGTAAACGATTACAAAAAACTATGGAAAATCACCATGCTATTAATAGGTAAATCAACATTAATTTATGTCAATTTTCAATAGCTATGTAACAGTCATTACCAGAGGGTATATTGATAATATATTGGATAAACACTAATATTTGATGATATACGTGTTTATGAATGTGATACACACATATATATATATATATATAATTATGGAAAATCTTCATTTTTAAGAGGTAAAACACATTTTTTAATAGGTAAAACATCTATAAATGGTCCATTTTCCATAGCTATGTTAAGTTACCAGAGGGTATTACTTGATTTAATGAGGATATTGGGACTATGGGATGGGGGTCTTTAAAAAAAATGGGGGCAGGGTTTTTTTGGGGTTTTACATATGAATTATATATGATTTACATATGATTTCATATATATATATATATAATCATATACAGTGTAGAAAAAAAGCAGATATATCCATTATTGATATCTATTCATGTCTGAATTATATGAGAAATGTACAGTAATTATATAAATATGGACCATGGGTACATGCCCAATAATGTATCATATATATATATATACATGTAAATAGTACGTATACAGTAGATATCTATTATTATAGATAGTAGATATCCATTGTAGTGAATTGTAATGATAGCAAAAAAGGGAAAATAGCGACTACATAACCCAATCATTATTCAGGATATCATGATAGTTATGATATCATTCATCCCTTCCCCTAATATTAAAGACACCATAAATCTTGATTTGTTGTTGGATTTACGCATTTTTGGACCATTTAGGTGGTGTTTGATGTTAAGAGCATGATATTTTTCTAAAAACAATTTCCGAATTTAGATACTGTAAATCATGGCAAAACCATTTCTTAAAAAAATATTCATATACATTTTACCATGAGTAGAATAGATGATATCATGTTTTTCACTTGAATATTATCATTATAAACAATAGATCACGAAAAGCAACATCATGTATCATGATTGCATGTTGATATATTCTAGTTTGGTCCATTGTAATTTCTTCTTTTTGGTCCAATGGCATGTTATATGCGTTCTTTTATCCTATGTATATCACAATATGATACTGTATATTATATATACGCATGTGTAACATATGTATTTGTTTGATATGAATCTCTGCATCTTATATCTATACCGTCTCCCACGGAGTGGGCCCCTGGCCCCGATATGCCCACTTGATAGGTATGTTGGCCTGTAGCTAAGCCAACTCCTGTCTATGGTGGACATATCTACAGTTGGATGGTTACATGTCTGATTGGTGGTTGAGCCACCCACTATCCTCCTTATGGATAGGTTATCCCTTGTTAGAGATTCTACAACAAATACATGCATACAGACATACGTACATACATACGCACGAGGAATGCAGCCAACAATTTTACTCATAGATACAAATCTATCTCTATGTGTGCCCTCTGGTTATTAAGATAGCTATGGAAAATGGTCCATTTGTACTGTAGATGATGTATGATGATTTACCCATAAAACAAGTGATTTTCCATAGCTACGTTAAACAACCAGATGGTAAACATATGTGTACATATATATATATATATTTCTATATCTATCTATATATATATATGTTTACGGTGTGTATATATATAATAATAATAATATATATATATATACATATATATATGTATATACATCTAGCATTCATAGTCGCTTGGATACATACTAACCAACCGAAATCATACAGTATCCCAACATCCATTGGATCGTCCAAGTTCCATTTTTATTCTATGGATCTCTCCCTTTCTCTATACATCATCCATATCCATTAAATACAGGAGATATGAAAGCAAACATATATATATATATATAATGTACAACCACCGTACATCTATAGATTCGTACAACTTTTGCCAATCCAAATCACCAAAATTCAACAAATCTGAGTCTCGACTCACGTTCGCAAAGCGCAACTTTCGAACCGTTCGTTCGACAGGTGCGCTACAACACCGAGTTGGAGCAGGCGCAGCGCGTGCTGAGCGCCCGTGTCGAGGAGGCTTCGTTGCAAGCGCGCCACGCAGCGCTGGAGGCGGACATGAATCGATGCTCGGGCGCGCCGTTAGGGCCGTTTTTTTGGTACAACTTTGGTGGACCAAAATGCTGGAAAAAACATCGGTATATGGACCAAAATGCTGGAAAACACATCATTAATGGCTGGAAAACACATCATCAATGGCTGGAAAACACATCATTAATGCGTGTTTTAGACAAAAAAAATGGATTGAATGATTGAATCATGATTTGTTTGGTGGAAGTGGAACGTATGGTGTTTTGAGCTGGGAAAGGGTGTGGTTTCAGCTGTAACGAAATGATTAAGGGTTTTGTAAGCTGGAATAGTGAATAGTGAATACTTGTGATTTAGCTGGGAAAATGAGTTTTAAGATCAAACACATGAAGTGTAAACTGGAACAAGGACAAACACTGATGACGGGGATATTTTTTGTGACAAAAGTGGGTTGAATAGATTGACATTTAATGATATTTAAATATTTTTCATAGGTCCCCTCCAATGTGTTTATATGTGTTTATTGTAAGAGGGAAACTCTTCATGTACCTGTTTCACCCTTCCTATTTGCCGTGGCCATTTGGTTGTTCCGGGGAAGACCAACTTCGTTTCAGCCACATCATGTCCAAAAAAATCTCCAGCAGGCAGCGTTGCTGCCAATTTTTGGTGTGACATCTCTATTTGTTGGTTTTATTTCTTTGAGATCTCCAATTTTACGATATGCAGCTGGTCTTGACGTCTTGACATGTGACCGTTTTTTCGTGACTGGATCTGGTGGGTCAGCGTTGGAGCTTTCAGATCCAGATGTTTCACACTTTGGAGGATCAGAATCAACCAAGATATTTTGGAGCTGTTGAGACCAGCAATCGCAATTTTTCTTGATCAGTTTGGTCAGGATAGATTGCAGCCATCCATACATGGCCTTGTTCTTAGTTTTGTTCGATTCTGTTCGTATATGTTTATATGAACTTTATTCTAATAAAAGCTTAACCTTAAGGCAGAGGATCAACAAACCACCATTCTTTTTAGTATTTTTGCGAGCGAGCGAACTTGTGCCGCCTTCAAGGATATACTCCCCGTGGTGGTATGCATGCGCAAGGAAGCTTGCCCTGGACACTTCGGAAAGGCGGAACTGAGAAGAGTTCTGGGGAGACATCCAGAGAGGTGGTTAGGGAGCGAAGGAGCTATGGTGACACACACACACACATGACATGGGGATGGGGATCGGTCAAAACCTATGAAATTACATGAAATTACCATATGACTGGGGGAATAAACATCCATTCACCAACTATTTTAGGGTACCTCAGGTGCCAGGGTTTTGATTCAGAGCGTTCCATGGGTCAAACCTGTGGCAGGTCGTTTGCCAGCCGTGGGCGATTTCTCCTCCCCGCGATGAGTCTTCCGAGTCCGAGGGGCATGATGTTGCTGGTTGACTTATATGTCTTTGTACATGTTATTCATGTGGAGGTTTCCAAAGTGATGGGGGTGCCCCAAATCATCCTTAAGTCAGACCATTTTTTTTGTCTCTCAACATATTGAAACCATTTGAAACCCATGGTGCCATGGTCTTGGGGGATCCATCATTTGAAGGAACCCCTGTGTGGTAAACAACACCATCCCAGCCGGATATCCGGATCAATGATGAATGACATGATTCTGCTTGTGTTCGTGGTGTTTGTTCGTACCTTGTGAGCAACTGATTCTGGTTGGTGGTTTCAAACATGGCTGGATTATTTAACTCCATAATACATGGGATAAACCTTCCCATTGACGAACTCATATTTTTCAAGATGGTTATTGCACCAACCAGGATTTCATTGTCACTGTTTCTTGGTAAGATAAACATATTTTTTGCTGCTTCCTTTCCATCTCCCATGGGATCCATTGGATATGAGATAAAATTGATAGCAACATGATAGCGACGTAAGGAAACTTGTGAAACATGGTGAAGCATGAACAAAAACCTGCTTTTGGGTTGTTTCTACATGAAGTGTTATATTTAGATTTGTATAAGTTTGTTGATGTGTAAAGCAGTTGTGCGGAAAGATGACCATGAAGCTATGAAACATGGATAAACATGGATCATTTTTGAAATGTTCACATATCAGAAAATCGGATTCAAGAGCACACCGCAGGAAATCGAAAGTAATCTTGGGTCTGTTTTAACATTGGTTGGCCGAAACAAACATATCAATGACGCTGTACTGTACAGTTATGACAATTTATTAGTTATAACTGGTTATAAATGGGATTATACATTCTATAAATGGGGTTAGTTCAGTACTTATAACTGGTATTTCGGGTCATAACTGTAAAACAACAGTTGAATGCTTGGCGATTTCGTAAAAGTTTCCAGCTCAACGTTCAGCCGACTTCACGAAAAATTTGGTGGTTGAAACAACGTTGATATCGTGGATTTAGCCAACACATGTGTATTCTGTCTAATTGAATATCTACTGGCTTGGTTTCAAATTCTTCAAGGAACTTTAAGAAAGCCGTGTTGTTTACAGTCCAAAGTATATGATTTTTCAGCAAGCAAAAAGGTGATCATTGCAGTTGAATCATGATGTTATTTCAACAACACGAGAGGTAGACTTAAATCATGATCAACCCCCGGCGCGGTGGCGGAAACGGAACGCGGAACCGTGGTTTCTCTGGGGTGCAGCGTGTCACCAGTCAACGTCCTAAGACACCGAAGACGACTTTAAGTGGATCATGTTTGGGACAATCTTATATCTTCGAATATCTTTAGTATTCTTGCGTAAATACCTAAGATCAATAAACACTGAAGAATTAACTTATTTAAATCCTAAGTCTGGGGTAGAAAACATTCATTTGGGTAAGCCTCGAAGACTTAGCAACCGACTGTATGGTGGATTGTTTAACTTGCAATATATGGGATATTCCAGATGATATTTCTATATATTTCTTATAAAACTCCTGAAGATTGGGAACATGAACAAAGTTGAGATAGTTCTATATATGTATGTCTATCTGATTGGTGGTTTCAAACATTTGTTTCCATAATATATGGGATAATCCTTCCCAGTGACTTTCATATTTTTCAAGATGGTTAACACCACCAACCAGCTATATATTTCTACAAAGTTCAGAGGATGAGATATTTGGGTAAACCTTGGAATGTAAATATCGGTCGATATGGGGGTGTTGACCAGAGGCAAGAATCCATGATAAATTTACATAAGCAAAGATTGGGATATTTTGTTAGACTGACTGGTGAGTTTGGTGTCCAAGAACTACAACGTAATCTTTTGCACTCTTTTGCTATACATGGTTTGATTCGGTTAGATTATGTGATAACTGATAACCAACAAGCTAAAGCTAAAGTAATATCAAATGCAGGGTATCCTTTGTGCCATGCAATCGGGGATGGGTCAGCTGTCAGCCCTTTTTTTGGGGATGACATCACAATGACGGTGAAGGAAAATCATCCTCTAATTGGCTTATAGCATTTCTGATTTTGGTTATAGTTGGAATTCGCCTAGAATCCTGGTATTTCAGCTTGTTGAACAATGATCTTGACAACGATTGGATTGCTGGCCTTGTCGCTCAAACGTTGCATTCGCTGCAGGCACAGTCATGGAATTTTGGGTTTCCGCCTTGATAACTCACAGATTCGTTTGTACACGTTTTGTTGCCGTTGAAGTTCATGATTCTGGAAGCTCACATAGTTTACCGCGGTCCAAAAAAGTATGCCGCGTTTCACCAAAAAAGTCCTTGCCGGTGGAGTTGAACACGGCAGGGTGCAGCATGCAAGCGGTGCGGAGCTATGGTTACCATGAAGCTCGAAGTGAGTTTCCCAAGCACATGATGTAAATGAGCGTCACCACCAAATAGAAACGACATGTTTTTCTTTTTTTTCTCGTTATTTAGCACATGTCCATACATGTCCACCTCTTTGTAGACGGTTGATCTTTACTTTTTGGTCCGATCAGGAGACATGCGATTTTTGACCAAAAGTTGTGTTACGCTTGAGCGAGCAGGTATTTCAAGCAGCCCCTGCCAAAGATGCAATTTTACATGGTTTTACCTATGTTATGTACTTATACAGTTTGTAGTATGAATGCTAAATAGAAATATATTTGCACCTGTATTAGCCACTATATATAGTTATAAGGCGATGTATAATATATATATATGATTACATATTATATACGTATATATGTATATATATATGTATGTATGTATGTATGTATGTATGTATGTATGTATGTATGTATGTATGTATGTATGTATGTATGTATGTATGTATGTATGTATGTATGTAATGTTTGTATGTATGTATGTATGTATGTATGTATGTAATGTATGTATGTAATGTATGTATGTAATGTATGTATGTAATGTATGTAATGTATGTATGTATGTATGTATGTATGTAATGTATGTAATGTATGTAATGTATGTAATGTATGTAATGATGTAATGTATGTAATGTATGTAATGTATGTAGTGTATGTAATGTATGTATGTATGTATGTAATGTAATGTAGTGTAGTGTAGTGTAATGTAATGTAATGTAATGGTATGTATGTATGTAATGCATGTAATATTTGTACTGTATGTAATGTATGTAATATATACAATGTATGTAATGTATG